CACCTTAATTTTTTGAGACAGGGCCTCAAAATGATCTAGAGCAGTGGTTCTTAACCTTCCTGATGCTGAGATCGCTTAATAGAATTCTTCATGTTGTAGTAAACACCCAACCATAAAATTATTCTCATTGCTACTTCATAACTGTAATTTTGCTAATGTGATGGATCATAAGTAAACATCTGTCTTTTCTGATGATTTTGGGAGACCTCTGTGAAAGTGTCAGTCAACCTCCAGGTTGAGAACCATTGATCTGAGCTTATCAATTTGAATGAACCAGACGGCTAGTGGAATATCAAGATCTTCCTGCTAGGATTAAGACATATACCACCATGCCTGAGTGTGTTTTGTTATTATTGTTGTTTTTCCGGCCGTTGGTATCTGAACTCACTTACACAGGAAGCATTTTACCTACAAACCATCTCCCCAGTCCTGTAATTGTTTATTAAGTGAATGGCTAACCCTTAGTTATTTGGTTTAATTTCGGAGCTTCTGCTTTCATGAGTTCAAGGCACTAACTTGATGACTTAGATTTGTTACAGGTTTTTGGGTGATGCTAGCGTTGCTGTTGTGGGGTTCACATTTTAAGAATCATAAGTTGGATTGTATGGTGTACAACATAAACTTTCTAGATGACTGGTCATCAATGCGTACTTGAGATGCTCAGGGCCAGAATTGGAACAGCTCCAGAAGAGCAGGCCGATTTGTCCCCCCACCACATCTTCAATATTTTCAGTTAAATACTTGCTAGTACTTTTTTTTGTCACAAGAGCTGTAAGTTGCCTATGGTGACTTTGTTTTGTTACCTTGGATGAACTTTGTTTTCCTGAGTGCCAGTACCTGGAAGGGAGAACCCAAGAAAAACAATTCTGCGAACAAAAACAACTCCCGGATACTGGCTCTCTGCAATGGTCAACCTGACCTCACTGTTTATGCTAATTGCACATTTTGGCTTTTGTGACTATCTTCTTAGCTTGCAGCTGCGAGAAGGGAACCTCGAGGACTTCTGTGATGAGACACCACAACCATGGCAACTCTTATGAAGGGATACATTTAAATAAGGTTGGCTTACAATTCAGAGGTTTAGGCCAGTATTGTCATGATGGGAGTTTGGCAGCACACAGGCAGCCATGGTGCTGGAGAAGGAGCTGAGAGTTCTACCTCTGGATGGGCAGGCAGCAGGAAGAAAATGACGCACTGGGCCTGGCTTGAGTATCTGAGACCTCAAACCCTGACCCCAGTGACACACTTCCTCCAACAAGGACACACCTACTTCAACAAGGACACACCTCTTAATAGTGCCACTCCCTATTAACCTATGGGGGCATTTTCTTTCAAACCACCACAACTTTCTATCCAGGATGTGGTGTTCTTGCTTCAGTATGGGTCCTGAGAAAGGTTCAGGGCTGCACTTAGATTCTGATTATACAGACATACTTACCAGCTGGCTGAAATAAACACTTTCAACAGACTGTGTCTGGGTGGTCTTCTCTGCTGGGAGCCCCACCACATTTTGAACTGAAACTTTTTGCATGTTTCCTTTCATTTAAAACTTTTTGTTTGCTCATTTCCCAGTGATAAGACATCAACCAAATACTGATTGCAAGTCTAAAAATGCATTTTGGAGGCTACTGTGTAGGATATTGGCTCAGGTTTGTAGTCCTTGCTGTATAGAACTAAATGTCTCTTCACTAAGTAAAACAGCACTGCTGCTGTAAGTAGCCAAAGTCTGATTCAGCAGTACGTGAAAAGGGATAGTAAGGCAGAATGTCTATCCTGAAGTATTTGATAATACTTCAGTGAAAGGGGACACTTAAATACATTTTTAACCTATAAGTATAATATTTGGGAAGCCTTATTCAGAAAGAGTGTTTTGCTCACAAGTATTCTTTATATTCACTAAACAAAGGCTATCTTAAATAAGATGCATAAATTCATAGATGGTGGTACATGCAAAAATTCCAACTGTTTTAACCAAAGGCTTACTTCTTTGCTAACAGTATCTTTAGAACTCAGCAAAAGTTATTTTCCCACAATACCAAATGTCGTAATTTAAGTAACAAGCCTCAAATAGTTTGACACTCAATAATAATGGATTTCACCACCTTACTGATGAATCTTTTTTTAAAAAATAAACATCTATTAAAAACAATCCAGTTTCTAGAAATAGGTCTAAGGAGATACAGTGCTCTTCATTAAAACCCCAGCAGTTACTATTTTAATTGGAAGTCTTGATTTAGGGGCAGAATTTAGGAAAATGTTTAGAATTTATCAAAACATGTTACCTATCAGCTGGACGTGGTGACACATGCCTTTAACTCCAGGAGACAAGGATGTGCAGATCTTTGAGTTTGAGGCTAACCTGGTCTACAGAATGAGTTTCAGGACAGTCATGGCTACATAGAGAAACCATTTCTCAATAAACAAACAAACAAACATTGTTACTTATCATCTAGGGGTCATTTTCTCTGCCAGTTAAAGACTGAAAAGACAAAAACATCTTAGACAACAGAAAGTAGTAAAGAGATTCAGCCCATAAAGAAAAGTTATTAGGGATGAGGAAACACACACACACACACACACACACACACACACACACACACACACACACACAGGCTTCACAAAGAGAAAGACCCTCTGCAAAGCAGAGGCAGCATGGTGTAAGAAATAAGAAATAAGTCAACATAAGAAAATGAATGGACTCATTTTGACCCTAAAATGGCGAGAGCAAACTATTGGTTTTTGAGGGCAGCGCCTGCTCAACATCTGAGGTTACAGGAGAGAGCACCATGCAGGGCCTAAGAATACGTTTTCATATGGGGGTGGAGACAAAGTGGGTGGTTGGCTTCACGAGGTCCAGAAACTGCTCTTTATTGAGATAAACTTCTGGGTAGTAGTTAAATTAGATTGCCTGGTTTTGTGGCCTCTGGACTGGGGGCCTGTTGTCATGGTTGGCTACTTTCGAGTATTCAAGGTTTCTTGAAGAATTGGGCCTATCTTACGGCCCTGATTTGGGATGGGAAGTTTTCTTTAGATGCAAAAATAAAGCCAGGTCTCTCCTTGCAAGCTGGGGTTTTAATTGTCTTGGAAGAGTCTTCCTTCCTAATTTATGATTGGAATAAGGGGAAGCTAATAGGTCTGTAAGTCTGGGGTAAACAGGTCATCATCTGACCTTGAACTTCTCTAGGATCTTGAACTTGTCAGACTGGTCCATAGGCAGGCATGGGGGTCCTTAAGGTGACAGAAAATGCTGCCAGGATTTTGTTGTTGTTGTTGTTTTTCCTTTTTTGGTTTTTCAACAGTTTCTCTGTAGCTTTGGAGCCCGTCCTGGAACTAGCTTTTGTAGACCAGGTTGGCCTTGCACTAACAGAGATAGGTCTGCCTCTGCCTCTTGAGTGCTGAGATTAAAAGTGTGCGCCACACTGCCCACCCTTCCAGACTTATTATTTATTTATTTAGTCTCAGGTCAGGAGGCTGAGGAAGAAGGCAGATGCTATCTTGGAAGGTCACCATCTTTGTTACATAATCATGGCCTTCTCCCTGAGTCTGCCTATCTGAGATTGTAGCTCCCAGCCCCTCAGAGTGTCATAATTCAACATTGTTGAAGTGATAATAGTAAGACCTTCAGTTTGTAGCTCTTGGAAAGTGAACCTCCACTTAGAGTTCCTCCCATCTGGAAATGACGGCTCTGTGTTTGGAGAGAGTGCTTATCCTCTACTTTTCTGTTTACAATGCTCTCCCGCACATTTTGACATGATCTGTCTGCAAAGTGAACTCTTTGAGCCACTGAGCTTAATTTGGGATCCCACAGGAGCATGACGGGATAGGGAGCAAATTACCAGTGGTTACAGCATGGATAAAAACTGTCTCTTTCCCCACCGACCACTAACTGCCGCCTCTAGATGAGAACTTTTTCCTCTGATGTAGATGTTTGTCTACTTGACTGATGGAAATAGAGGTGGGATATAAATTTAAATTGCAAACGATGAAAAGCATTCAGTTCAGTAGAAATTATAGTTAATTTCTATAACACAAGACTATAGCTACAGCTCTTATTCTAATTCTTTCTCCTCTTCTACACAGCTATTTTCTACATAATTTCAAGTAAGTTACCTATCTTCATCTTGTTTCCATAAAACAAACTTAAATAAATTATTAGAAAAGGTACCTAGCCGTTCTGAAACCTTGCACTTGCTTGCAACATTCCAGTTCAGCAAGAAGAGTGGGGAACACATATATGGGAGTTGGATGTCTAAGTAAGTTCTTGGTAGCAATTATTATGAGAACGTGAACATAAAGAGGTAAATTTGTGCTACTCCCTTCAAACATTGTCCATGATATCTAGCAAAGGCCAGATGCTTCTAAGGTGTGTATTGTCCTAATTGTGTGTATGGTCAGGATAGAGCAAGCATTCTGGGTCTGAGGTCAAGTGGTTGTAGTCTAAATGATCTGAAATGGTCTCAGATTGTTAAGTTTACTTCAGTCATTAGAGAGGAGATAAAGGGTGGAGGGGAGGTAAATAACACATCATCATGGAATTTAATTCCGGTTATTTCTACTAGGAGAGGGGGAATGGTGCGTCCAGTTTTGAAAAGCTTTCCATACATTGGCAGAATTAGCTATGCCTCAATGAAAGAACCGAACTGACGATTCCGAGCTTTACACTTTAATACAAATCTCAACTGCTCTTTGAGATGTGTGGCTGCCAAAAGCAACCTGAGATTAGCAGAACTGTTTTCCAACAAATCAAACCACACTCAAAGCGTACTTTATCTTCAGTTTTCTTCAAATATCTTCTCAAACTTCAGTCTCAACTCCAATTTCAGAATGAAAGTATTATGTGAAGACTACCTAGCCTACAACTTTATACATGTACCATTTTGAGACCACACAGTTAAATAAATATTCCATAATACCACACGTTAAGGTACTTAAGGTCACATGTTAGAACGCACTAGAACAGAGATAGATATTAATGACTTTATTGTTTATTTTAAAGGAAGGATCTTACACTGTATCCCAGGTTGGTCTGGAACTAGGAACAATCCTCCTGCCTCAACCTCTCAAGTGCCTCGACTACAGGTCTGAGCCAGCACCCACCGCAACAGTAACTAAAATGATAAGCACAAGAGAAGTATTCCTCATCTAAAACACACCAACTCTGAATGTTAATTAACTCAGTCTCTCCAGGAGTGGCACGTGGAAAACACTGCCCTGTGCCAATCAGAAAGCGTCAATCTTCACTACCCGCTAGAGACGGCAGGATGTCATGGATTGTCATGAAGGTTCTAGCAATTCATCTCACTGGCAATGGAGAGCATCAGTAACTGGAAAGAAAATGCAGTTTGGGAGCTTGGAGGTTAGAAAGCTTCAGCAGAGCAACAGAGGGCGCAATAACCCCTTCTCTCCGGAGCCTGCTGGCCGCTGCTCCTGCGCGCGAGCCGAGCCCCGCCCCTCCCTCTGGGCTCTGGCCACTCAGAGAACTCTGAGCAGAGTGATTGACAGGACGGCCGTCCGCGGCGTTGCGTAAGCGCTTCACTCCGGAAACGGTGACTTCCTTGTGCTTCCGGCCAACGCTCTCCCAGCATCCCTCGCGTGCCGGCCCTGCCGCAGCTCGCCCGGCCGCCGCCGCGGGCCTTGCGCGCTGGATTTTGAGCGCGCGTCTGCCCGGGGCTGGGCCCGGGACGCGGCTGCGCGGCATGGCGCAGCTGGAGGGCTACTACTTCTCGGCCGCCCTGAGCTGCACCTTCCTGGTGTCCTGCCTGCTCTTCTCCGCCTTCAGCCGTGCCCTGCGCGAGCCCTACATGGACGAGATCTTCCACCTGCCGCAGGCGCAGCGCTACTGCGAGGGCCGCTTCTCCCTGTCGCAGGTTGGTCTCTGCTGGCCCTGCCCCGGGCCGGGCTCCTCCCAACCTCTGTGTGTTTCCCTTTCCCTGTCTGCCCTCCCAGACTCAAAACGCGAAAGCAACTGGGTAAAGGCTGACTGTACCTACCCTGTAGATCTACGGCGTATTTGTTAGGCGATGCGAGAAATGCGGACCCCAAATTATAGCTCCTCTTGGCAGCTGACCAGTTTGCCTTCCTAAGTCCCAGGATTAGAGGCATGCGGGTGTCCCCTGGAAATACAGAAGACAGAACAAAACAAAACAAAAAAACACCCCAAACTTACTTCTAAGGTATTCCACTCAGTGTTTTGGACGCCTAATGGAGCCTCTTAGGCCACCAATGAGTGATAGTTTCATTCAAACTTCATCCTTGGATGTTTTTAGAAACTTGCTTTTGTCTAGATTAATTGGCAACTAGTCAGATTGCATCATTTAAAAAATATATGTTCAATTACATAAATATGCATCATACAGAGTTAAATGCCATATAGTCTCTCATGAACACAGTATGGGTTACTGCTTCAAAATATAAAGTCCGTTGAAGAAAATCCTGATCCCCTTTGCCATTTTAAGGACCACGAACCTGCAAAGTAATAGTAACTACAGTCTCTAATACAGAATGTATTGCAAGATGCCAAACAGGGCTAAGCACCAGTCCCAAACTAACAGGTTTTGTGTTTAGAGGTCTTGTTATGCAGTCTCTCTAAATACTAAAGTATCTAAAGATCGTTCAGAGTCCAGCTGTTGTTGGCCTGGCTTGTAAAATTGGGGCCGGTGCAATTTAGTCACAGAATACATGTTTCCTAAAGAGCTAGCCTTGGAAAGTAGAAACAAATTACAACTTACTGTCTGTTGCTTGATGATACCTTAATAATTCCGAATGGGTTTGAGACAGGGAGCAAAATGGTTTCTTAGAATGGACTGCTGGAGCGGTGGCTCAGTGGTTGGTAGCTCTTGCTGTTTGGACTGAAGACCAGATTTCCCTTCTCCCACATTGAGCTGCTCACTAACCATTTGTAACTCCAGTTCCAGGGGACCCAGTGCCCTCTCTGTCTTCCACAGGCTTGTCTATGTTGCACATACTCAGATGTGTGGGAACACACATTCAATCTAAAACCTAGAACTTAAAGACATCTCATCTGCCAGGATTTATTTATTTATGCCATAGAATGTCCTCAACAAGTTATTCAATATTGGAACAAATGAAAACTGATTTTTGACACACTTGTATCAATGGAGTCATTGTTGCTTCAGCTTTACCGTTGGTCTTTTCTTTTTAAGTGGGATCCTATGATTACGACGTTGCCCGGCTTGTACCTGGTGTCAGTTGGAGTGGTCAAACCCGCCAGCTGGATCCTTGGATGGTCTGAACACGTTGTCTGTTCCATGGGAATGCTCAGATTTGTTAATCTTCTCTTCAGTGTTGGCAACTTCTATTTACTGTATTTGCTTTTCAGAAAGGTACAACCCAGAAACAAGGTATGTACAGAATAGAGTTATTGCAAGTTTCTGTGCAGTCAAGTCACAGTTATATAAGATGGAGGAAAATGTCCAACAGTTTTTGTAGGTTTTACAAAGCTAAATGGATGCTCTCTACTTTTATGTAGAAGGTGTTTATATTTCAATATGGGAATAGCTTTATTTGAAAATCTAAAGGTGTTTGTTAGCAAACCAAACCAGTTTAATAACTCCATGCTTTCTCTAGGAAATTAGATAGTCTAATGAATCTTAGCTGAGGGAGCTGGATATGACTTCATACGCAAGTCTTAGAGTTAGGTTGCCTGGGTTTAAATTCAGTCCTGGCTACTACTTATATGAACGTGAGCAAATTACTCCTTTATGATTTTATATTTTTATCTATTTGAAGTAATTTAAATATCAACAGTAATAATACATTTTGTCTCATTGAATTTGTATTAAGAGTAAATGAGCTTGCTTAATAAAGGGAGGTTGCTTAGGCTAGTACCTAGTGCAAAGTTTTAATAAATGTTAACTATGGCAGACCTGTGACAGAGTACTTTGAGTTTTACAATTTCTCCCTTACTAGTTTTAATTATATGTTTGTAAATTGCAGTTTCTGCTATTTAATATTTTGTATAAAACTGTTTACAGTACACAGGTTTGTCAGACGCAACAGGATGTATCCTATATGTGCCAAGTTTACAGGCTGTTGTGGGGCTTTATCTATGGAGATAGGGTCTCACTGTGCACCCTGCTGACCTCAAACGCTGTGTGGGTCTGCCTGTCCTAGAACTATAGACATCCACCGGCCTCTGCTTTTCAAGTTCTGAGTTTAAAGGTGTGTGTCACCACACCTGACCTGAGGAGGGCTTTTGTCGAAGGGTTGGCACAGACTGTGTGTGACAGAGTTAAGTGAAGGATACAGGACAGAGAGATTCAGAATAGTTATTTCTGAAACTACCAAAGAAGCTAAAAGAAGACATTTAGTTTAGAGTAGGCCTGGATTTTTTAGGAAAAATTTCTTGTCATTTCATTGTACAAAAAGTAAGCTCACTGGGCAGGGTGAGGAATACTGTTTACACATTTCAGTTTTCTCTAGTGTAGAGGTTTGAAGGGCTGTCCTTAAAGAACTGGGTGAGATGGGCTGAGACCCCGGTTCAAGGTTGCAAGGTGACGTAACTGTACCATCTTTACTGTGTTCTGTTCTTCCCTGTGTTCCCCGTGTACCTTAGTCCAGGGTCTCCTATTCAGCGACCCCCTAAAGAATTTGTTCAGTGATTCAAAAATTTTAAGCTCTTAAGAGGTTTACACCATTAGTATTTTAATGGTTCACAAGCTGATTAATGTAACTGGAAATTGCCAGAGGTATTACACATGGTGTTGCAAAGTCAGAAATATGCTTTATTTGAATTAAACTGCAGTGAGTTTTTAAATAAATCTCTATTAATTCAGCAGAAATAGTGTATTTATTTTACCCTAAAAATATTTTTTTCTTTTTCCTTCAAGGCTTCTTCAAGTATCCAGAGAATCTTGTCAACATTAACCCTGGCACTATTTCCGATCCTCTATTTCTTTAACTTCCTTTATTATACAGAACCCGGGTCTGTGTTCTTTACTCTTTTTGCCTACTTGATGTGTCTTTATGGCAATCATAGGACTTCAGCCTTGCTTGGGTTTTGTGGATTCATGTTTCGTCAGACCAATATCGTCTGGGCTGCCTTCTGTGCGGGACACATCATTGCACAGAAGTTCAGTGAGGCCTGGAAAACTGAGCTGCAGAAGAAGAAGGAAGAGAGACTTCCCCCTGTGAAAGGACCATTTTCAGAACTCAGAAGAGTTCTTCACTTTCTTCTGGTGTACTCTATGTCGTTTAAGAACCTGAGTATGCTTTTCCTTTTGACCTGGCCCTACATCCTCCTGCTGGTTGCATTTCTTGTGTTTGTGGTAGTTAATGGTGGGATTGTTATTGGTGACCGGAGTAGTCATGAAGCCTGTCTTCATTTTCCTCAGTTATTCTACTTTTTCTCATTTACTGTTTTTTTTTCCTTCCCTCACCTACTTTCTTCTACAAAAGTCAAGACTTTTCTTAGCTTAGTTTGGAATCGTAGAGTTCAGTTCTCTGTGATTCTGGTAGTCTCGGTATTCTTTGTTTGGAGATTCACTTACGTCCATAAGTATTTACTGGCGGACAATAGGCATTACACATTTTACGTTTGGAAAAGGGTATTTCAGAGACATGAAATTGTGAAATATTTATTAGTTCCAGCCTACATGTTTGCTGGTTGGACCATAGCTGACTCTTTGAAATCAAAGTCAATTTTCTGGAATTTAATGTTTTTTGTATGCTTAGTCACTTCTACAGTTCCTCAGAAACTACTGGAATTCCGTTACTTCATTTTACCGTATATTATATATAGGCTTAACATACCTCTGCCACCTGTATCTAGACTTGTTTGTGAACTTGGTTGTTACACAGTTGTTAATTTTCTAACTTTTTATATCTTTCTGAACAAGCCTTTCCAGTGGCCAGATAATCAGGACATACAAAGGTTTATGTGGTAATGGCAGCAATATTTTGAATTTTAAAAGTAGACTTTCTACAACAAATAACTGGGTATGTAGAAGTGGAATTCCTTTTATATAAATTCAGGGAAGTTGAATGAAAAGCATTAAGTTTGAGGCCAGCCTAGAAGCCTGACTAATGATGATAGAGTAGCTAGCAGTTGTCTTGAGAAGCACTGGCGCTGCCGGCTTCCCAGGTCTGGGCACTTTCTGTGTGCACATGGAGGGTGCTGGGAAAGCCCCGCAGCCCTCGAACCAGGACATCAAAGAATTTGAAAACCATTTACAATGAACTAGCAGTATTTCTGAGTAAGTGGACAGTTATTGCAGTAAATATAGCTCCGATCTTAAATTAGAATGGATTTATAGACATAACAAATCATGAGCTAGAGGCTTTGGGATGTTTTTCTAGGAATCAGGTTTTTTAATTAAAAATGCAGAAGTAGGGAAGCCATTTGAACTAATTCCTAATTTGATGTTTCTTCAGGCCAAAGATAAACCCTGTTAATTAGAATACCTGTTACAGATAATCTTTCTGTTAACTACCTCGGGCTCATGTACAAAAATAACTGCAAACCTCGCGGCTTAGAACTTTCCCTCACATACTTAGAAGAGCCTCACCTGGACTCAGTGCTACCATAGCTCTCTCCTTCAGAAGAAGGGAGTCCATTGTCCCTGCTCAGCTCACTCCAGCAATTGTTTGGGGTGCCTTATATTTGGACAGGTCCCTCCAGTCTGCCTGTGTCTTCACAGGGTTGTTTCCAAGGGCTTCTTATACAGATAAGGCCTTTGGATTTAGGGGTCCTCTGATTCAGGCTGGCTTTACCTGGGGACTCCTGGTTATTATCTGTAAAACATTTTCAAGTCAGGTCCCATTCACAAGTTCCAGGTATACATCATCTTGTTTGGGGGAATGTAGTAACTTTTTAGGAGATGTCCTTGCTAAGGTCTTTTGAGTTAAAGTTTGTCTTTAACTGAGAGACCAAAATCAATCAATCAAACAAAAGAGGTCTGAATTCATATAATTTAAATTGTTCCTCTAGCCAGTCAAACCAGAAGAACTCAGAGGTGAGACGTCATTGGTTTAGCTTTATCTTATAATTTAGGGAACAGTATTGGATATGACTCTGGGATTTTTTTTCTTTTGGCTCTGTTTACTGTTTATTCATTTTATTAAATTCAAGTTTAATAATTTAGTAGAAGTTTTTTTCATTCAACTGTTACTTCATTACAGACACACAGACATTTGATTAGTTGTGTGCTGTGATTGTAAACCCAGAAATGTGAATAGAGTTTACTTTTTAGCCCAGTTTTCTTTCTGAGTTTTACACATGTACACATGCACACGCACGCACAAAGGGACCAAAAACTTTGCTTTAATTGTTGGATTATGTTTTCTTAGAGTTTTAAATATGTGTAAATTTGTATATAAGTTTAAAAACTACTTGAATAAAAGTTACACACGTAGTCCTGAGTGGTCAGTTAGCACAGACCATCACTTTTTGATATTTGAAGGTGACTCCAGTAAAACAGTGGTGGAGTTGTGAGCAGATCCAAAGGCGTCCTCCATTTCTGCCTTCACAGTGGATTTATTATGATAGAGAACTAAGTCCAGGAAGGTGAGATTGCAAACATGTGCTGTCTGCTGCTGCCTTTCATATCTAGGAACACTGAGGGGATGGAGGAAACACTTTGTCCCACGTGATGAAAGGAGACTGCTTTTACAGGCCCTTCTGAATTAGACATTGTGGAGGTCTACAGGGAGACAAGGGAGCAGTCTACACTGCTTTCCATAAGTATTGATAGTAGGACTTGGCATTCCAGAAAAGGAGGCCATGAATTAAAAGGTGCTATTTATTTTTCACTATGATTTAAAAATGGATGTATGTTGATGCTTTATAGGGTAGATGCTTGGTTAAATCTTCCTGGGCAGTTGACAATAAGATGGTCATTTGCTGGTGAATTTCTCAGTCTTTGTCACTAAATGAGTATGTGAGAGAAATGAGCTTCACACAGCAGGTGTCACCTTTGGTTATTCAAAATAGCAGGTTCGTCTCTGGAAAATCATTTCTCTTGGAAAGAGCCTTGTTTTTACAAATGTTATAAACTATATTTCTGAAAAAGTTTGAAACTTCCAAAAATTAAGTATTTTTACTTATTAGACTTAATTGAATTTGATTAATAAGTGATTATAAAGGGGCTCAGTAGTTAAAAGCACAAACCACCCTTGCAGGGGACACTAGTGTGGTTCCTAACCCTACACAGGGCAGCACACCAGCCCTGTCAGCTCCATCTCTAGGGGATCTCAGACCTCTGGCTTCTGCAGCCACCTGCACTCCTGCGTATACCTCACTGCCCCACACATAATTAAGTTAAAAATTCTCAAAGGTAGTTGTAGAAAATGTACCTCCTGCTGAAGGACTTGTGGAGCCCTGCGGTCTTTATCACTCCTTTTCCAGTAGGGTTGTTTTAACTGTCTCATTGGAAAGGCCTAGCCTTTAGCTTGAATAATCAAGTTAACCAGCTCTACCGTATGTGAAAATCCATAGGCATAGACTATCATTTCCAGATATATTAATAAGGGTTTGTGTGCAATGTATTTTGCTCACATTTATGCTTTCCCTGGGTACTCCTTTTATGGCTGTGCCTCACTAAATGATGTGGAAATAGTGTTCTTTACATAATATGTTCTAGTACATAATAGTGAAAGAGGAACTATTGTTCTCATAGTTACGTGTGTTTATCCTGTTATAAAATACCCGCTATAAACTAATGTTTATAATGTATTTCTAGTGTAAACTGAACTGACGTGACATTGTGCTTACTGATTGTCTAGAGAGAAGAGAAGGGATCCGCAGCTTTAATGTGGAGCTCCTAGAGAGCGAGCATATAATTTAGGTCCACCTCAGAACTACTGAGATAAAAAGAATATAGATCACTATTGTCTTCGAAGCAATTGGAATGTCTCTAAATGGTTAAAAAAAAAAGTGGACATGATATTTTACCTAGAGGAAATTAAAATAAGACTGTAGGTTGTACTTGATTTTGGTTCCAGAATAAAAAGACAAGTTGTTGAAGGACTGTTGTTTATTCCTGATTGCAAATGAGAATGTTATGTCTGAATTCTGGTTAGTATCTGATGTATGTCTTAACCCATTTCAACATGGATCCATACCCATTACACAACCATAAAGCGCAGAAATACATCATATATGTTGGGTAAATATATATTGGATGGAGTTTTCAGCATAGAAGCAAGCAGTTATCCTAGAAAAGAACTGTATTACCAACTTAGGAAGTAAATTGTGTTTTATAATGAGTTACCCTGACCCCTTTTCTGCCTGTTTTCTGAGTATTATTTCCAGTAGTATTTAGTATAGATATGCACATTTAGTGTGTATGTGCTACCTGATATAGGGTATGATTTTAATACTATTTGAAACACAGAGTCATCTTAATAATTATAGTAGAAGTATTGATTTGTGATACTTTAATTATGAAATTTCAGCTGGTTAGAAACATCTGGTGTTCAGCTATTTTACCTCTATGAAGGAATGAATTACTTGTATTTGGGTGATTCTTATGTATTTGAATTTGATGGCAATATGTTGTTGAGACATACATAATAAATTAGATATTGATGATATTTTTAATATACCCATGAATCCAGCACTAAATTCTGTGATGCCTGGAAGTTATTTCTAAAAGTAAATTTTGTGATAATTTGGTAATCTGATAATAGTCATTATTTTAAAATAAGATATTGATCAGTGGTAATTTGTTTGTTCCTTCAGCACTGTTAAACCAAAAGTAATTAGGGTATAATTTTAGTATTACATCTGTTTGCATTTGGAAATTTGAGTTTATTTGAGCCATGTGTTTATCACTGTTCAATATGAGTAAGAATGAAAAGAATTCCAGTAGTTGTCTTCATCTATTGATGATGTTTTGCTGTTGAGATTGATGTCTGCCGTCTCTCTACCTACCTGCCCACTACATGCTTTATCACTCGAGCCCACTCACATGCCTATGATGTAGATGCTGATTTTTTTTTTTTTTTTGACTGGTGGAGAAGCTGAATTCCAGCATCTCTGGTGACTCTCCAAAGTCCATTCCTTTTGTCATTGAATGTAAAGCTGTGAGCTTTTGCTATTCTGCCTCAATGTCGAACTTCATTAAGAGAAAATAGGGAGTGAAGTTTCCATTCTACTGGTCAGACCTTTTGTGTCATGTTGCTGAGAACTTACATGTTCCTGAAAATGTTAGAAGCTTTTCAGAGGAGTACAAGTAAAATGATAAATACTAAATGGTTTCATTACAAGACAAATTGTTTTAAAAAATTCTCGTTTTTTTAACTTGGAAAAAAAGCTCCAATAACAATAAGTTCTTAATTATAAGCATTATACATTCTACATTGCTTTAAATGTAATTCGGAGATTGACAAAAAGGTTTCAGCTCACAAGAAAAATGCCTTTGTTTTTAATTACTTGGTCCCTTCAGGGGTATTGAATTCCCCGCATAGGTTTTGTATTTACTGAAAACATTTCATTAGGAAGGTCTCAGTGACTAGAGAGAATAGATATGGCACAGTACCTTTGCAAGGTGTCTCACATCCTACCATTTTAAGCCTCTGGTTCCTGAAGCTGGTATTCTTTATGTTCTTTGGTAAGATAAATTCAAGTATTTCTTGAAGTATTTTGCCTTTGATATAGTTTGTTTCTAAATTAAAGTAGAACTTTTACCCCATTTGTGAAACAAATTTGAGTTGTGCAACGTAGCCAAAGGTGATAGAATATTTCAGTGTACCAGTAATACAGTATCTTATCTACATTTATATTCCTTTGTCAGTGAAAAAAAAATGTGTTGTGTTTTCCCTGTAGTTCTAAATAGGAAAGTACTGTCTGTATACATTTTTAATGAAGTTTTTGCCAGGTGGTGACAATGTGCTATATTTTGAAGTGTTCTTGTAATTTAACTTTTTTTTACTAGTCTAGGTTAAACTTTTTACAGTTTTGTATTTTGAACCACAAAGATTTATAATTATTCATCTTTATTATTGTTTGTTTTTTAGGAAGGGTCTCATAATCCAGGTTAGCCTGGAATTTGCAATGTAGCCAAGAATGACCTTGAACTCCTGATTCTTTTGCCTCTACCTCTGGTCTGCTGGGATTACAGGCATGCTGCACCAGGCCTAGTTTATGCAGTGCTGGGGATAAAACATACAACATAGAGCTTGCCTGGCCCTGCTTATTATACTGTGACTCAAAATGTTTTCCTGAGATACATGAAGTGAAGGTTAATGTAAAAATAAAAGTCACTTGTTCCATAATCATGTCTCATGGGTTTTAGGATTGTTTCCAGTAGTAGTGATGGGTTCGGAAACTGCTGTATGGCTACTGCTGTTAGGCTTTGCTTACTCACTGTATCTCAGTTCTCTGGTATTAACTCTACCCACTCATGGAGAAACTATGCCGAGAGAGATTATTTGTCTAATGTTACAGAGTAGCTGGTTGAGCTTAGGTTTATGACTAGGCAGCCTGAGCATAATCCCATGGTTGTTTTGCAGAGTGAGTAAAGGACACTAAACCTACCTTCACTTTTATAGCATTTTAGGGGGGAAAAATGCCATGGAACTATAATTAGACGAACTACTTTTCTAGCTCAGACAAGTGAGGCACACACTAACTGGCTCTTCTAAAACAGACAATCTTCCATTTCCCATGTGTCCATCAGTGCTTCAGATTGTTAGTGAACACAAAATCACAATGCAGGCTCAAGTTTTCAGCTCTATTAATTTACAAGGAAGCAAAGATCTTTTATCAAATACTGATGTAACAGCTTAAAACTTAATTTCTCAAAAAGACTCCTATTTTGGAAAAATTGTTGTTTTAAATGATCTGTGATTTTTAAATCTTTCTGAAAGAATTTGATCTTTGTTTTATAACTATAAATATATGTTTTAATGTGGTTTTTAAGGTTTTACATTTTATTAAAGACTGCAATGTTTGACTCCTGTCATTTAAACTGTTAAATAAATCTATTTAAAAGAATAAAAACTTTTTAAATAATTTGCTTTATATATTTATTCATAAGAAAATTACTATTTTGAATATTTTGTACCCTCTCAACATGCTTTTAGTCCAAACTGATGGCCAGTTGCTCTTTCCATTCACTCTACTTCAAGCCATTTTCCCACCTAACTTTAGATTACTGGTCTTGAAACGAGGAGTGAATACATTTTATATATCTGTAAAAATACCCGTCCCTACCCTGAATGCCTTGATCTACTTATAACTCCAAGTTGCAGTGGTCAGTGAAGATACTGGATGGTCACTGAGTTTCTGAGCTTGGTTTTCTTTGTTAGTCTAGGTCCAGAGAAAGGTCAGTATTTACCAACACTGCTAACTTGAAAAGACTCTAACTTTGGGCTTTGTCCATTATGAAGACATGAGTACTGCTGTGTCTTCATTCTTTGTATGGACTTTCCCCTATCCACCCCTCAGAGAGGGTAGAGCTTCTCATGGGGAGTCAACAATGTCTAGCACATTGCTTTGAGGCAGGACCAAGGCCCTCCCCACTATGGATCACATATGAGAGGACATGTGATGCTTGTCTTTCTGAGTCTGGGCTACCTTGCTCGGTGTAATTTTTCTGACTTGTATCTGTTTACTCACAAATTTCATAATTTTATTTCTCTTTCCAGCTGGCAAAATTCCATTATGTATATGTATTACATTTTTATTATCCACTCATCAGTTGATGGACAGCTAGACTGATCCCATTTTCCAGCTATTGTAAACACAACAGCAATGAACATGGCTGACCACAATAGAACGCTTTCAGAGTATGCCCAGCAGGTGAAGCCGGGACAAATGGTTGTTCTATTTCTAGTGTTTTGAGGAACATCCACACTTGTGTCAGTAGTGGCTGCACCAGTATAAACTTCCATTAGCAGTCAATAAGTGATTCCTCTTTCTGCACATCCTTGCCAGCATTTGCTGTTATCTCTTTTCTTGATGATAGTCATTGTGACAGGAGAGAGATGGAATCTCAAATAAGTTTAAATTTCCATGTTCCTGGTGGCTAATAATACTGATAGCTTTCTAGTCGTCAGTTGCCATTTGTACTACTTTGGTGAATTCTCTGTGCAATTAGTCACCCATATGTGGGATAATGCTCTTGTCCCCTGTAAAGATTTGTCACTCATATTAGTTTAAATAAAATACTGATTGGCCAGTATAGGCAGGGTGACCAGACTAGGGGACTACTAAGAAGAGGAAAGGCAGAGTCAGTCACCAGCCAGATGTAGAGGAAGCAAGATGAGAATGCATTACTGAGAAAAGGTACCAAGCCACGTGGCTAAACATAGACAAGAATTATGGGTTCATTTAAGTTGTAAGAGCTAGTTAAAAATAATCCTGAGCTAATAGGTCAAACAGTTTATAATTAATGTAAGCTCCTGTGTGTTTCTTTGGAATTGAATGGCTGTGGGACCAAGTGGGACAGAAACTTGTCTACACCTATATTTGATGGTGTTTTTTTTTTTTTTTTGTGGAATAGTTTGCTCAAAACTGGTGTTATTTATTCTTTTTTAAAAAAGATTTATTTATTATGTATACACTGTTCTGTCTGCATGTGTGCTTACAGACCAGAAGAGGGGCACCAGATCTCATTACAGATGGTTATAAGGCACCATGTGGTTGCTGGGAATTGAACTCAGGACCTCTGGAAGAATAGTCAGTGCTCTTAACCTCTGAGCCTTCTCTCCAGCCCGTGCTACTTAATTCTTTAAAGGTCTGCTAGAATTCTGCAGTGAATCTGTCTTGTCTTAAATGTTTTTAGTTGAGAGTTTTCATTATTTGTCAATCTCACTGCATATAAGTCTCAATATTTATTCATCTTATTTAATTTTGGTCTTATTTATTTAGAAATTTATTCATTTTCTTTTGTTTTTCTAACTTAGTGGAATATAGGTTTTTACAGCATATCCTCATGATTTTCTGAATTCTGTTATCTATTGTAATGTCTCTCTTTTCACTATGATTTTAATTTGGGACTTTGCTCCACTTCTTTTGGTTACTTTGACTAAAGGTTTATCAATCTTGTTCGTGTTTGCAAAGAACTATCTTCATTTTATTGACTTTGTGTATTTTTTATTTTTATCTTATTAATCTCAGATCTTATCTTTATTATTCAATACCCTTTTTTCTGTTCAGTACACTGAACATGTTCAATACACTGAACATGTTTTCATTAATACATGCCACGGAAGGCTTGTTTTATGCTTCTGTCTACTGTGTTTTGTGTACTTTACATTTTAATGGGCATTTCTTTCCTAAGATTTAGGAAATTTTCTTCTGTGATTTCATTGGAAATATTTTATTTGCCTTTGGCTTGTATTTCTTCTATGCCCATAATTCATAGTTTTAGACTTTTCTTAGTGCCCCAAATGTCTTGCATGTTCCATTAATGAGTTTTAACATCTTATTTTCTTTGACTAAGTGATATAATTCCTTTATTTTGTCTTCAAGTTCTGACACTATATATCTAGTTGATTCATTCTATTTGTGAGACTTTGGTCTTTTATTAGTATTACTGAATATTTCATTTTAATTTTTATTACAGTTTGAGTCATCTTCAGTATTTTTCTTTATCAAAGCAGAAACTATTAGTGTGGTCTTAATAACTTTTGAAGAGTCACACTGTCTTAGTTTTTCATGTTTATGTTTTTATAGTGGCGCCTGGTGTCTGGAGTTAAACTGTTGGTATGTCTTTTGTATTGATGTTTGTCTCTGCATTTTTGATTATGTGTTTCCATCTCTACTTCCTGTTACCCTGACTTGGCTGGGTGGTGCTTGAAGCTCATTCTCGGGGCTAGTCAATACTGATTCATGCCTGTCTTGGTTAGGGAAAAATGGCTGCTTCTTGTCTTATTAGCCTGTCCTCACCAGGACATGTCGGTTCTCTCTATAGTCCCTCAGAAGTAAGGTTAGATTGCCAGGTAAATGGAGGTGAGAGCAGCCAGTGAAGTGAGTAAATGCTGAATACAGGCTCTAGGGTCACCAGTGAGATTTTTATGAGTACAAATCCTATTTAGTTCCTGCTTGCTTTTGCTTAACACATGGTGGTTTCAGATATTGCCTTTTCTTTATATGATTAAACGTTGAGACAACAAATGTGAAAAGGCTTCCCTCCGCTATTACCTGCTTGAGAGCCCCATCTTTGTGCTGACATGGAGTGTGTATAGTCTCCTTGTAGATAAGGAAGATCTTGTTACTTTTGAGGGACTTAAAGAGTTTCTGAAATAGTTTAGGCGGGAGCAGTACATTTTTTGGATATGGTTGTCTAACATGGTTCCTTTATGTACTGAATGATAGTGTTTTAGGTCCAATGACCACCTACCAGTGGCCTGTGAGGAAACTCCAAACAATACAGAGGTGACTTTTCCAGACAATAACAACTTACTCTTACCGGAGTCTATCCAAAGTTCCCATGAAGGAGGAAGAAGAGAGCCTGTGTGTGTATATGGAACTAGAGGCAACATGAAATCAAAGATCGCTTACAGAGATCTGTAGAGATGCTGTGACATGCAGTCCAGCCTTCAAAGTGTGCGATCAGAAATTTCACAGCAAAAGTATTATAAATAGAGTAGTTGACCGACATTTCTGGTGCATGCGCCAGGCTCTAGTCTTAAGTGCAAACCACGTATTAATTTAAGTGCTTATTAATGCATGCCCTCCACAAGGCAAATGCTGCTATCACAATTTTATTGATGAGAGAAAGGAAGGAACAGGGTATTAAAATTTGGAAAATGCAGCTTCAGAAAAATTCTCAGATGGGGTACTGTATTGACTCCTGCTGAGCCTGAAGACTCATCCTTGAAAGCACATGAAGTTGATTTGGGGCCGAAATAAACAAAGAGAGTGCACAGCACACAGAGAGACTGCATTAAAAGTGCAGTTTAGAGGAAATGTTTGGTACTTGAGAAAGATAGATGGGTTTCAGCTAAAGCAAGATGAATGAAATTGCTCTGTCCCCTCCCCCAACCTCTTTTTAATATATTGCTGACTGTCTTAAGTCAAATGCCTGATTCATCTTTAACTTGACCCATGGCCCAGATCCCTGTGAAGACTTGTGCTGGGAACTCTGCTGTAGGACCCTGCTGCCACATTCTAAGCCTTATGATAGGAGCGTGACACTTACTGCAAATTGAGGTTTGTCTCCAGGCTCCCCAACCCTATTTCTTTTTTTTTTTTATATAATTTTTTATTGAAAAAAAAAAGATTTCCGCCTCCTCCCCGCCTCCCATTTCCCTCCCCGTCTCTCTTT